CCTTAGAGAATTGTAAATATACACACACTTGCTGCTCTTACTTGCTGTATGAATATGGGCAAGTCACAACCTTGCTCTGTCTCAACAATAAAATGGGGATATTACTTTTGACACCTACCTCACACAGTTATTATGCAGATAAAATAAGACAATGGATATAAAGTGTCTTGCAACTCTCAAAGTGCTATATAAATAAATATCATCTCCCTTATGACCATTTCTGCTTCCCCTTTGCCCCTTTGGCTCATTAATGCCCATATTATCTTGGACTCTCCATCATGTCAGACTATTGAGAACTTATTATTTAAGAACATTTTATAGGATCCTAGATATAGCTAGATGGCATCTCAAAAGTCATTTAATCTGGCTCCTTTATTTTATTTTTGGATTTTATAATTCTTTGAAATGTGGTTTCCCTTCCTATTATTGCCTCTTTTACTTTGTTGTTATTATATAAAAATGCTTTGGATGTTTAGGGGTTTGTTTTATAGGCTGCAACTTTATGGAAGCTGTTAATTATCTTAACTAGCACTTTTCCTGGTTCCTAGAATTTTCTAAGCAAACCATCATGCCACCAGGAAATAAGGATAGTTTTTATCTCCTTTTTACCTGTCTTTACAGCTCTAATTTCTTTCTTTTGTCTTAGTGTTATTGCTAGTTTTTTTTTGATTGTTTGTTTTGTTTTTTTGCTTTTTGGTGAGGCAATTGGAGTTACATGACTTGCCCAGGGTCACACAGCTAGCAAGTGTCAAGTGTCTGAGGCCGGATTTGAACTCAGGTCCTCCTGACTCCAAGGCCAGAGCTCTATCCACTGTGCCACCTAGCTATCCCCTATTGCTAGCATTTCTAAAACCATATCAGATAATGACAGCCCTCTAATATTACAGTTGAGGAAACTGAGGCCCAGAAAAGTTAAGTAACTTGCCCAAATCCATTTTTCCCTCCAACTCCACTCCTTGGTATAAGTTGAGGACTATGGAGAGGGGGGGGAAGACTGCATATAATTTCAGACTTTTTCAATATTTTGATTAGTTTTGCCTGATTTTATTTTTTCTCTTTTTTATTCTTTGCCATAAGGAATGGCTCTCTGAGAGGCAGAAGGACCAGGCTACACTGGAAAATGTAAAAAAAAAATCAATAAAATTATTTTAAAATTAGTATTTTAAAATAAAATTTAAAATTAAAATTAAAATATTTAAAATTAGTGGACAGTAATAACAAAATTATGCTTGGATAGAATTGTGAAGAGAAAAATGATGGGAAAAAGGAAGATTTCAAAATCAATAAATTAGAACATTTTGTCCTCCAAGATCCCCAGGCACTAAAGAGTGCAAGTAAAAGCAAAACAAATAAATGATTGTAAAAAAAAGAAAGAAAAAAAGATTGCATATTATTCATGTTGATAACATTATATATGTTTATATAAGTCAAATAGTAAATATTACATGTTGCAACAGCTTCTAAAAATTCAGTCTAGCTAATAACTATATTCATGAGAAGGGCATGGGAACAGTGAGGTACATTTCTCTCAGTGCAGTTGCTGCAGTTCTCCCTTCCTTTCCTCTAGTACCATTTATACTTAAGATGGGGTTGCAGAGCTCCAACCCAAGGAGGTGGCAAGAGAGGTTTGATGTAACCTCTATTTCTCTCTTCCCTTTCCTTCCCCCTCTCTCTAATCCAACCGGAGTCTACTACAGAGAGCTACTGTGGATCCCTGCTTGGGTTCAAGAATCATTGTATAAACTGTTCTCTTGGTTCTGCCTACTTCCCTCTTTATCAGTTCATACTTCCCAGAATTCTCTGGAATCTTCTCTTTCATCATCAATATGACACAATAATCACAGCTCCAATGAGTTTAATTATTAACTCTATACAGATAACTTTCAGAGCTTTATCCAACTTCAATCTCTCCCCTGAGCTTCAATCTTCTAGAACTGGATGTTCTAGTTTGTAATAGCTGGGGAAAAGCTGCATCCAAAAGGCTTTAACCCAGAAAAAGCCACCCACTCAGTAGATTTTAGTGACACACAGTAGACTTAGTGACATCTCAAACTTAATGTGTCTAAATCAGAACTCATTATCTTTCCTCCTAAGTCCTACCCTTTTCTAAACTTCCCTATTTCTATTGAAGGCACTACTATTTTTTCAGGCTCCCAGGTCCATAACCTTAACATTATCGGTGATTCCTCACAATCTTTCACCCCAGATATGTAATCAGTTTTCAAAGCTCGCCATTTGCCCCTCCAAAATATCTCTTGTACCCAACTCCTCTACTTACATAGCCATCTTAGTTCATGTCTCATCAACTTTCACCTAGACTTTCAAAGTGGCCTCCTAATTGGTCTCCCTGTCTCAAGTCTCTACCTTGTCCAATCCAACACATATATGGGTCAAAGTGATTTTTCTTAAATCCATTGCCTCCCTACTCATCAAATTTCAGTGCCTCTCCAAATGTAAACTCTTCTGCTTAGTTTTTAAAATCCTTCATAACCTGTCGCAACCTATCTTTCAAAATGCTGCTAATCTGGTCATCTCTCTGATCCTTACCCACAGAACTCCATCTCCATGCCTTTGCATAGCCCATCTCCTATGCCTGGAGTGGATTTCCTCCTTGCCTCTGCTCCACAGAATCTCTTTCTTAAAACACTGCCCAAGCATTGTCTTCTATACTCCTCCTTTTCCATTTCTTCCAACTGCTAGCACTTTTCCTAGCTACCTAACTTAACTATTTTTTATTTATTTTGTATTTTTTTCTGTACAGAATTATTCTAATATACTTATTAATAAGCTCCCCTGGCAGCTTTCAGGGATTCACATGACTCATCACTGTAGCTCTTGGTGCTTTAGAATGATGCAGCAAGGCAAACTCCAGGTAGTCCCTTCTACCCCCATCCCCCACTTTGTAGTCCAAGGTAGGGTGGGGGAAGGCTGTATGAAAGTTGCATCAGAGAGGATGGGCCACTAAACCAGAAAATGCCTCTCATTCAGTAGACTTTAAAAGAAGTGACTCCGCCCTGTTATTTCTCATCTCTGGAATGTAATTGGCTTTACTTTTGGATTTCTTATGGGACTGGGTGAGGGATGGCAGGGAGGGACTGGGGCCCTTCCCCTACCCAGGCAAAAATAGCAAACTGTTGGCAAGTGGTTGCTAGACTACAAATTCATAACTGAGTTTGAGCCTTGGCTTTTTTTTCTTTGTGTTTCTTCTCTCTGTATAGGTCAACAAAGATCCTGAAATGGAAGTTTCTACCTTGGGAGGCAACTTCGGGAAGTTTGATAGTATAGGAGCTACGGGTTTCTTCAGTTTGTGCTAACTACAATACAGGAGGTGGTCCCTACCTCTACTACAGTTTTTTTCTTGAAGTAGAAGATGGCCACCAACAGGAAGAAGAGCCTAAGTCACAGCCTGGAATACCAGAAGACATGGACCTTAGACAAGTTGTTGGCTAGTGCTGAACTGAAGTAAAGTTAAAATGGCTACATGATAAGCCACCACCACCCCCAACTTTCCTCCAAAATATTTTGTGATTTGATATTTTAAACATAATTCTTTTTTGAGAGTATAATAGTAATTGTTATTATTTTTTTTTAATTTGTTTTTATCAATGCAAGCTTGTCAGTCTTCTGTGATTTAAGCATTTCTTTTCTATATAGGAAAAAATAGCTGTCCTATAACTGATCTACTTTGTACACTGAGTGTTTTTCTTTTCAAGACTTTTTTAAAGACCCTAGACATATGCCAAATTTAAACTTTACATAATTTTCTCTGGGTTCTGAAACAGGGGCAGGAGTATGCTGTAGTCAGCTTGAACCAATTTGAGAGAACCAATTGTTAAGTATTCAGTGTAAACATTTACATCTCCCAAATCATCAGACTCTACAAATCAGGGATTGATTTATTGTTTTATTGATTTTTAGACTTAAGAAAGTGATGGAGAATACACTAATAATGTAGATTAAACTCAAAAGTGTGTGTCGTATAGGTTCCCCTCCCCCCCTCCCCCGGCAGTTTCAGAGAGCCAGTTGTTAAATATTTACTAGCACACCCCTGGATAGGGGTTTAAAAAGTACCAGTGTGAGGGGGGGAAAAGAGCCAAAACCCCTCTCTTTTAGGGTCAGGCCCCCTAGGACTGAACTCAGCTCATGTCTGTGCACCAGAGCAGTGGGAATTCTGAGAGGGAGAGGGCAAGTATCCCTTGGTCAGAGAAGCAGGAAGAAAGGAAGGGAGGAGGGAAAGAGGGAAGGAGGAAAGAAGCATGTATTAAGTATCTACTATGTGCCAGGCACTGTGCTAGGTGCTTTATAAATATCTCATTTGACACTCATAAAAACTCTTAGGAGGTAGGTGCAGTTATTATCCCCATTTTATAATTGAAGAAACCTAGGCAGAGGTTAAATGTCTTGACCATGGTCATAGTAAGTGACTGAGACTGGATTCAAACTTAGGTCTTCCCGACTCCAGATCCAGCACTGTCTGTACCACCTAGTGTTTCTGGGAAAAGTTAAGGGTAATTTAAAGTCCTTTATAATGTTTCTCCAACCTATTTTTCCAGATTGATTTTATATTACTTCCTCTCACAATAATTCTTCCTTCTCAGCTGACTTATTTACTATTCCCTGAACACATTCCATCTCCCATAACCAAACCTTTGCATAGGCTTCCCCTAGACTACCTCATGCCCAAAATGTTTTCTCTTCTCACTTCTAAAATTAAGCTCAAGTGCCACCTCCTACAAAAGGTCTTCCCTGATCCCCCAACACATAGCTTCAGTTCCTTATACCCATCATATCCTCTACATTACTTTTATATGTTGTTTAGTCATTTTCAATTGTATCCAACTCTTTGTGACCTCTTTTAGGGTTTTCTTGACAAAGATACTGGAGTAGTTTGCCATTCTTTCTCCAGCTCATTTTACAGATGAAGAAACTGAGGCAAGGGTTAAGTGACTTGCCCAGGGTCACATAGCTAGTAAGTGTCAGAGACCAGAAGTCTTCCTAACTCCAGGTCTAGTGCTCTACCCATTGTGCCACCTAGCTGCCCACTTTTATTTTTACTTTGTATATATTTCATAACTGCTTATCCTTGTATACTATTCCCTCCATAGAATAGAAGTTCCTAGAGACTAAGGACTGTTTTTTTTTTCCTTTTTAATTTATACAGGACCTAGCACAATAACTGGAACATAGTAGGAGCTTAATAAATGCTCACTGAATTAAGGTTGAGTTTTTCTACCTCTTTAAAAGTCTGATCTGGTCTAAAATTAGAATGTCATAAGGCCAATTCATATAGCCACAGACCAAAGCACTAACCTGGATGGATAGTGAAGTAAAGATACAGATTATATTGGCCATCAGCATACATGTAGCAGAGACTATAAATTTACCTCTTCTTGGTGTACTGCAATTCTCATGGAGGTAGTGCTTGGCTTCCCTCCATCTATCCTGCTTTCTTGGAAGTATTCCTATTCTACCATGGGAGAGAATGGGGCCTACTCTACTGGTTCAAATATCGACCTTAAATTCAAGAAGACCTTGGTTTGAATCCCAACTTGGAAACTTACTAACTTTGTGACTAGGCAATTCAATGAACCTTAATGGACTTCAATTTTCTCACCTGTTAAATGAGAGACTTAGTTTTAATGACCATAAGGTCCCTTCTACCTGGAATCTAGGCTCTTATGATGCTCCAATGTCAGGGGAAGCAGCCCTGTGTAAACTGAATAACTCCACTCAGGTAGCCTCGGAAGGATACATGGGTTCAACCAGAAGGATATAGGGTTAGTTCTAGGCCCATAAGAAGTGCTGATAAGGGCAGTAAACGCTTAACCCAGAACTAGGGGAAGAAGGAGGGGAGAGAAAATTGTAAATTTGCCCTTCTCTAATCAACTGTCAATGACACTCACTGGAAGATGAGAGGGATAGGCATTGAATTATCAAGGAATATTGCTAAGCAAATTGTAGAATAATGCCTATAATGAAGTATAATTACAAGCACAAAGAACTTAAAGAAATAATGGAAGATTTGTATGAACGGATATAGAACTACATTTTCCTCTCAGTCAAAAAATTTACTCCTATAACAACATAGTTATATCACAACTTTAAAAAATGGAGGATGACATATAGCTCACCACTGTGTCTCATCAATACTCTTCATCAGTAGCTACACAATGTCTTGTGTACCCAGCTAGCCTGGGTGAGCTGATGGCCAATATAGTCTATATTTTTACTTCACTATTCATCCAGGTTAGTGCTTAGGTTTGTGGCAATATGAATTGGGCATTCTAATATAGATATCTATAACTGACATAGAGAGGAAATAAAGAGTCCAAAGAATAATATAGAAAATAACTACAATAATGTAAGTGAACAGAACACCAAAAGGAAGCTGAACTCCAAGTAATCAAAATAATTATTTGGACCCAGAGAAGAAATGAAACATGCTTCTCTGCTCTAGGTAGTTAGGCAGAGGACTCTACAATTAGGCAGAATGCTGCATACATTGTCAGCTGAGGTCACTGTGTAAGTTGTTTTTGTGTCACCATTTTTCTTCTCTACAAAGGATGATTTGCAATCTCCTGAAAGGAAGTGATAAAGACTGTGATAGAAAAACAAGGCATCAATGAAGTATGGTTATTTGCAATCCAACAAACTCTGGACAAATTCTGTACTTAGATAAGACAGGATTCTTTGTGCTCAATAACTATTTTATAATCAGGAACAACATTGGATGCCATAACAAAACAATTTTCTCCCCCTTTTTTTTACATAAGCCAAGATTTTTTTTTTTTTTTTTGCTTTTTTGGTGAGGCAATCAGGATTAAGTGACTTGCCCTGGGTCACACAGCCAGTAAGTGTCAAGTGTCTGGGGCCAGATTTGAACTCAGGTCCTCCTGACTCCAAGGCCAGAGCTCTATCTACTGTGCCACCTAGCTGCCCCCAAGGTTTTTTTTTTTGTAGGTCAAATTTTTTTTATGATAATTTTTATTTATTTTTTTCTTTTCAACATTTACTTCCACAAGATTTTGAGTTCCAGATTTTCACCCCATTTTGCCCCTCCCCCCACCCAAGATGGCATGCATTCTGAATACCCCTTCCCCTAGTCTGCTTTCCCTTCTGTCTCCTCCCCCATCCCCTTCCCCTTCAATTTTCCTGTAGGGCAGGATGGATTTCTGTACCCCATTTCCTGTATTTCTTATTTCCCAGATGCATATGAAAACTTTTTTTAAACATGTGTTTTCAAAACCCTGGGTTCCAAATTTTCTCCCTTCCTCCCTCCCCACCAACCCTCATTGATAAGGCAAGCAACTCAATATAGGTTATATATGTGCAGTTATGCAAAACACTTCCATAGTAGACATGCTGTGAAAAACTAACTCTATTTCCCTTAATCCTATCCTGCTCCCCAATTTATTCTATTCTTTCTTTTGACTCTGACCCTCCTCAGAAGTATTTGCTTCTGATTACCCCCTTTCCCAAACTGCCCTCCTCTCTATCATCCCTTACTCTCTTGTCCCCTTCCCCTCACCCATTTCCTGTAGAGTAAGACAGATTTCCATACCCAACTGAGTGTGTACGTTATTCCCTCCTTAAGTCAAATTCTATGAGAATAAGATTCACTCATTCTCTCTCACCTTCCCCCATTTCCCCTCCACTGTAAGAGCCTTGTCTTTCGTTTTTTTTTTTGTGAGATAATTTACCCTGTTCTACCTCTCCCTTTCTCCTTCTCCTAGTATAATCCTCTCTCACCCCTTAATTTTATTCTCCAGATATGACCTCTTCATCTTCAACTCACCCTGTGCCCTCTATCTATCTATATCTATAGATACGTACATATAATTTTTTTCCCTTCCACTACCCTAATACTGACAAAGGTCTCATGAGTTACAAATATCATCTTTCCACACAGGAATGTAAACAGTTCAACCATAATAAGTCTCTTATGATTTTCTCTTTCCTGTTTACCTCTTCATGTTCCACTTGAGTCTTGTATTTGAAAATCAAATTTTCGATTCAGCTCTGGTCTTTTCATCAAGAATGCCCAAAAGTCCTCTATTTCACTGAATGATCATTTTTTCCCCTGCAGAATTATACTCAGTTTTGCTAGGTAGGTGATTCTTGGTTGTAATCCTATCTCCTTCGCCCTCCGGAATATTATATTCCATGCCCTGTGGTCCCTTAATGTAGAAGCAGCTAAATCTTGTGTTATCCTGATTGTGTTTCCACAATACTTGAATTGTTTCTTTCTGGCTACTTGTAATATTTTCTCCTTGACCTGGGAACTCTGAAATTTGGCTACAATATTCCTATGAGTTTTCCTTTGGGGATCTCTTTCAGAAGGAGATTGGTGGATTCTTTCAATTTCTATTTTGCCCTCTGGTTCTAAAATATCAGGGCAGTTTTCCTGGATAATTTTTTGAAAGATGATGTCTAGGCTCTTTTTTTGATCATGGCTTTCAGATAGTCCAATAATTTTTAAATTCTCTCTCCTGGATCTATTTTCCAGGTCAGTTGTTTTTCCAATGAGATATTTCACATTGTTTTCTAATTTTTCATTCTTTCAGATTTGTTTTACACTGTCTTGATTTCTCATCAAGTCACTAGCTTCCAATTGCTTTATTCTAATTTTTAAAAAGTATTTTCTTCAGTAAGCTTTTGGACTTCCTTTTCCATTTGGCCAATTTTGCTTTTTAGGGCATTCTTCTCATTGGCTTTTTGGACCTCTTTTGCCATTTGGGTTAGGCTATTTTTTAAGGTGTTTTTTCTTCAGTATTTTTTTGAGTCTCCTTTAGCAAGCTGTTGACTTGTTTTTCATGATTTTCTTGCATCACTCTCAGTTTTTCTTCTACTTCTCTTACTTGCTTCTCAAAATCCCTTTTGATATCTTCCAAGGCCTGGGACTGATTGATATTCTTCTTGGGGGCTTTGGATGTAGGAGCTTTGGCTTCATTGTCTTTTTCTGGTTGTAGGTTTTGATCTTCTTTGTTACCAAAGTAAGATAATATAGTCTGATTCTTTTTGCACTGCTTACTCATGATCCCAGCCAATTACTTAAGTTTTAAACTGTTTGTTAAGGTAAAAGTCTGCTTCCAATGTGGAGAATGTACTGTCCCAAGCTTCAGGAGTTTGTACAGCTGTTTTCAAACCTACTTCTAGGGACCTGAAAATTTTCAGTTCTTCCAAGGTGCTATGATAAGGGGCGAGGTGTTTTCTCTCCACTGCCACAAGAAGCTTCACCACACCAGCATTCCTCCTCACCCCAGGACCGCCCCTCATAACTGTAACCCAGATCCATGGGTAAAGCAAGAGATTCCTGCCTCAGCACTGGCAAAGAGATCCCTGCAATCCCCCTCTGATCAGCCACTCGATTCCCCCTTAGTTTGAGGGCTGGAAGCTCAGGAAACAGCTGCGGCCCCGGGGGCGGCTGAAACCTAACTCCTTCTCTCACCGCAGTCACAGACTTTTCCCACTGACCTTCCAAGTTGTCTTTGGCGTTCGTGGGTTGAGAAGTTTGGAAACGGCCACAGCTGCCCACGATTCAGTCCTCTGAGGCCTGCTCCAGGTAAGCTGTGGCCTGCACACCCACGCCAAACCTGGCTCCTCTCCCAGCCCAGTGCAATACACTTTTCTGATCAACCATCCAGGCTGCCTTGGGCTGGAAATTTGTTTCATTCATCTTTTTGTGGGTTCTGTTGCTTTAGAATTTGTTTAGAGACATTTTTTATAGGTATTTGGAGGGGCTTGGGGGGAGAGTTCAAACAAGTCACTGCTTTCCCTCCGCCATCTTGGCTCCACCCCCAAGATTTTTATTTTTAAAAAATATAGAGGGATGGTTTCAGTTCATCACATCTTTGTATGAAAAAACCAAGAGTTTTGTTTTTAAGTTCATTGTGATTGATTTGCATCTTCTAAACCTTCAGAATCAGGAAACTCTTGAAAATTTAACAGCTAAACACATGTTGGACACCAAGAGTGCCAAGGGTAAACCTAAATCAAAACTAGCTATTGTCCTATTATTTGCTTTTCTTCTCTCTTTAGGATTTGGTTATTTGAACTAGTTTCAGGGACATCTGTTCCACTGTCGGTCTTTCTGATATTATCTTGTTATCAATGAAGAGAATTATTATAAAAATTATTATAAAAAGTTAAAAATACAAATGGACATTTTATTTTATGCTTATTCTTCTGAGATATGCTCAGTTAATTTACTATGTTATTTATTATTAGTTTTTTTTTAATTCTCAACAAATAAGAATCTAATATTTTAACCACTATTTAATGGATCTCCACTTTAACTGAGCCCATGTCCATTCACCATGGATAACCCATAGAGATGAAGGAGTGGGTAGATGCCCTATATGTGTTTATCTGTCTTGATGGAATGGGGCGAGAAGATGGGAAAAGGGGAGTACAAACCTGTGATTTCATCAGTGTAGGGAACTCTCAGTTTAGATTCCCTTTTACCCCTTTTCCCTACTGATTCATATTGGTAACTTAGTCCTTGAAATCTACCTTTGAACATTGAGAAGTTAAGTGATCTGGCCATAGTCACATACTGAGTATGTCTCAGAGACAGGATCTGAACCCAGGTCTTCCTGATTCCCTGTCATGCATACTATCCTATGAACCCTCCTCCTCCCTAAAAATTAGAGAAGACAAACCCAACAAATTATCTAATACTTCACAGTTCCTTCTTATTACTGTCTGTCATAGCTACAATTTTATTTGTAGAATGTCTCAGATATCTTCCCAGGAACTCCAGGACTCCAAAGAAGAGTATGAGGAACACCAGCCTAGATCATCTTTAAGACTCCTTCCTGCTCTAACAGTTCAAGATTCTCTTTATATTCATTCCTGCTGTTAATTCGAATAAAACCAGATTAGCTAAAGCATTAGGCAAAAGGATCAGACTCAAATTAAGGCACGTCAGAACAGTTCAATAAATGACTTACTGAAACATACAAAGCAGGCAAAATGTGGTGCTCTAAACCCCAACCTCTCCTCCAGCCAGTATTCTTCCTTGCTAGACACCCAGTATCCAGATGGTATCATACTGGCAGCTCAGAGACCACATTATCAGGGAGACAACTCCTGTGTCATCTATCCCACATTCCAGGTTTTTTTTCCTTTCAACTTCTTACTCCAAACTTGTAGTTTCTATTCCATCAGGAAGTTTTAGTCGGAGACATATAATCAGACAAGTAAATTCTGTTAATTTGTGCAGTGGGTACTAGTGAACTGTGTTATCTCTCCCAGGGTAATCCATTTGTCTTTTAACTGGAACTACCTTTTTTTCTTTAATACTAAATTAAAAAAAATTTTTTTGAGCTCTGAATTCTCTCCTTTCCTCCCATTTTTGTCCCATGCACTGAGGAGGCAAGCAATATGATATCAATTATACATGTAAAATCACATAAAACATGTTTTCAAATCCCACCTTGGACATCTATCACTTGTATATCCTCAAGCAAATCATCCAACCTCTAACTGGAACATTTGAGACATCATAAAAATCCATAGGAGTGACTATGATGAATCTTTGGTCCCCACCCTAGCAAACCTATAAGGGAGCTATCTGTGGGGCAGGTAGGCCCAGATGAAATACTTTTTTCAGTTCCAAACTTTGATGGCACATGGTCACCACTGAACAACAAAGTCATAGAAGTAGGCTGTATATCACTCAGCCTAGAGCCCAATATTTATTTCCTTCGGGTTCACAGAGTAGTTGCAGGGTGCTGATGTCAGTAGCTGTCTAGTGAAGATGGGTACTGTTTAGGAGGCATATGGTATCTTACATTTTTCCAGAACTTTGTCTTTGCAGACTGTAATCCCTCTGTGTAGCCCCCTCTCCATTGCAACACCCCATATTTCTGCTTAAGGTATTTAATTGATTCTGGCATGTCTGTATAATCCAGGATTTTCTCCAATTCAATGAGAATGACTTTCATTCCATCGTGGATGAGGGCATTGTAGATAGTGATCTGTTCTTCAGACATGTTCTTTAATAGACCATAACTTGAAGATTCTGAGACCAAAATGATTATCAGTCTTCTGCTTAGCTTAATATTTTCATCAATAACATTGACCACAGCTGAAAATAATGGAAGAAGTTAAGTGGATACTTGGAATCTTTCAACTAAAAGATACTGCCTGTCTTTTTCTGCTTGCAATTCTACCGAGTGGATTGATATCAAGTCTGAGAAGGAAGTCCAAATGACTGGCACTTATAATCCATTTGTAATAAAGTGTGAAATCCATCTCAGGGCTGGAAGGGATGTTGTAAGTCAACTAGTCCAACCTGTACCTAAATATGAATCCTGCCTAAAACATCGTATCCAATTTCTTCTTAAAGACCTCCTGTGCGAGGAAATCCAAATAATTGCAAGAAGATATTATAATTTTACTTTGAAATGAAATTTTTCATCTTCTATCTCTATTTGCTTTGGCCTTATGGATCAAAAAATCTACTACATTAATTGACCTTTGAAGTATTCTTAATTAATTCAACAAATATTTATTGAATGCCTATTACACATGAGGCTCTGAGGATACAGAGACAATTCATAAGTCTTTCCCTGAAGGACATTATGAGGCAGAGGTAGGGATAGATACATATTTGAAAATTTTGAAAAACAAAAGAAAACCTGCTCCTAAAATCTCTCAACTCAGAAGCTTCTTGCTTTATAATTACTTCTTACTGTGACACTAATAAAATAGAAACATCCACATGGTTTGCAAATGCATGATGATTATGCAAGTTTGCTAATGAGGCAAGGGATAAACACTTGGTTTAATTCCTATCTCTTTGGGGAAAACGATTTCACAGTTTAAAGCACTTTCTGTTGACCTTGACATCCACAATAAAATTCCACAGTATGAATGGGATACCAAAGAAAACCTAAGCATATTTTAACAAAAACCTGGAAGTGGCCAATACTCACTAATCAAAAATGAATGAGAACATCTGTTACATCTGACTATGAAAGTAAAAGTATTTTCAGTCATTTGAGTAGAATAGTCTCCATGGGAAAGCGTGGGGTTAAGGGAGAAAAAACTGTAAGGAGATTAGAGGATGAGTCATACATGTTAACCTGTTTGCAACACTACTTCAAAACAGGAATCAACTTTGAATATCTAAACTGTAACCTGAACCGATTCATAGGATTATGGATCAAGAATTGGAAGGTACCTCAGAGGCCATTTTTTTCTAATCCCACCATTTTACAGATGAGGAAACTGAGGCCCCGACTTGCCCAAGGCCACACAATGAACAAACATCAGGGATAGGATTTCAACTATGGACCTAAATAGCTCCAGAACCAATTCACTTTCCACTATACCACACCAATTCTGGCATATGTTGTAGCTATATACATATATGTATGTATGTATGTATGTATATATATGCCGGTAAACACAACAAGACAAATGGTCACCATTTTCTTTTTCATAAGTTTTCCTGGTTAATCCAGTCCTCACCTCCAAAACTAGATTCACATTACTTCCACAAGGAAGCCCTGAAACTCAAAGTTGCATGTTTTCAGAATGATCTTAACATGAGGTTGGAATCAAACCCAGACTTCATCTCAACTAGATGCTGTGGTCTATGAACTTTCTCAAGTTTCAAGGAGAATGGAAGTAGAGTCAATACATTGTGTAAAGGCAATGAAGGGAAAACACTCTTTAGAAAAAATAGGCAGGAGGGGTTCTTTGATTAAATCATTTCAGACATACCTTGTCCTGGTAAGTCATCCCTTCCAAATATAAACAGCCTGTATCCACACTGTCTCTCCAAGACTTCAGGTAGGATCTTCAGTACCAAAATATTCATTTCTTGGTTCTGGCTTTCAATTTTAGGTTTTGGATACAAAACATAAGCATCATAGAGCTTGCCATCTGAAAATCAAATGGACACATTCATAGCATCTCTTCTTTTAGTAAAGGACATAGTAAAAATGTTGCATCATTATGATTTTTTAGTTTAATTCACCAACTTCAAAGGGAAGTTGGAGTAGAGGAAGGAGAAAGAATGATTCATAAACCTTTAGAGTCAGGAGGGATTTTAGGGATTATTAAAGCCAATATGATTATTTTAAGAGCTAGAGAGGGGGAGCTTCTTGCCCAAGATTGATCAATTAATTGATGGAAGTCTTCGAACTTGGATTATAAATATTTTCTCCTATACCAAAGATGAGACTCATCAGAAGAAAAATTTTCATTATCCTCTGTATGATACTCAATTGAAACTTGTCAGTCCTTTGAGACGCACTAATAGAAAGAAAATAGACAGGAAATGTATTAACCCTGCAGTCAAGATGGCATTCTTTTTATTGTCCATGATATTTAATGCTTTGAGGTCCATGATTTCATCCATGGGAACAGTCCATCCAGTGAAACATATTTAACTTCCCTGGACATCAGTTTCTGCATCGATAAAATGAAAAGGTTCAACTAGATCGACTGTGAGGTGTCTCCAGTTCTAGAGCTATGATCTACTATGGGATAATGGTAGATGACAACCCTTTATGTCTTTATAGACCATTTTCATGAGTTGTTGCATGTCAATCACCTCTCAGTCAACCTCTGGAGATGATGAACCCTTGATGTTCTTACCAAACTAGCCTATGAGATACATCATTTCTATTTGACTTTAAAGCAGAACTTGTTTTTCAGCACCCCACGTTCCTATTATGCTATATTTCAGAAAGAATAAGGATGGAGATACGGTGTATGTGCTACTAATACCTCAGGTTTAAGCCATGGTTTTGAGTGCTTGGACAGACTCAGTGAGAAGTCTTTTAGCTACAAATTTAGTTCAAAAAGTCAGAGAACAATGAAACACAATAAGATGGTAGAGCTGAATTATCAGCTGCCTAACTGAAGTTTTGTTGTTGTTAATTTGGATCAGACCTGTGATTTCGTGCGTATAGTAAACTCTCAATGAGGTAACTCCTTCTACCAATGCAGACCAGTACCTGGTCTCTAATTTTGCCTGAAATAGTTTTGGGAGGCACTGAGAGATTGTGTCTTGCGTAGGGTCATATAAACAGTAAGCGTCAGGAGTGGATCTTGAATCCAGGTCCTCCTGACTGCTAGGTTGGCTCTCTTTCCACTATTCCAAGTTGACTCTTTGTAGCCTAGATACATATATCAGATATGGTGATTGGAAGAGGGGTTCAGAATGAATAGCTCAGCCTGACATGCACTAAGTTCTCTGATCCATGTTCACTGCTCTATAATTCTCACAACTAGAATCACCAAATCCCAGTATTTTAGAGTCAAAAAGAATCTCAACATCTATCTAATTCAACCTATACTTAAAGAAGAATCTCAGGATCAACCAACAAATCATCACCTAGCTTCTCCTTCAAGATATCTTTTGAGAGAGAACCCTGAAGTAGCCCATTCCACTTTAGTCATTTTTCTTCTAGTTGTGTCTGACTCTTTGTGACCCCATTTGGGGTTTTCTTGGCAAAGATACTAGAGTGGTTTGCCATTTCCTTCTCCAGCTCATTTTACAGATGAGGAACTGAAGCCAACAGGGTCACACAGCTAGTAAGTGTCTGAGGCCAGAACTCAGGAAAAGGAGTCTTCCTGATTCCAAGACCAGTGCTCTATTTATTGTGCCACCTAGCGGTCCTAATTCCACATTAAGGCAGCTTTAATTGTCAGGGAGCCGAAATGTGTTTCTTCTATCCACTACTCCTGATTCTGCTTTCTAAGACCAAGCAGAGCAAGTCTAATCTTTCTCCTATGGGTCAACCCTTCAAATGCTTGAAGATAATTATAATGGCCCCCATGCACAAGACCTGGGAGGAGATCTGGTCCCACCTCCTCATTTTACAGATGAGGAATCTTAGGTCGGTAGTTTTAGTGACTTGCCCAAAGTCACACAGATAATAAGTGGCAGGGCTGAGATTTGAACCCAGCTTCGCCAAGTCTCAATCCAATCAATATTCTTTCTGTGGTTTAGAATGTTTAGAACCTAGTGGAGGAAACTGGGCATAGACATAAAAATATAACTACATAAAGGTAGCATGTTGAATTTTCTATACTTGATGGTTCTACTTCCTCAAGATATACTTCCTCCTCTAACATTGGCATTCTGGATTTTGCTTGGACTCTTTTTTGAAATCTCTCAAAAGATACTTGTGACGTCCTAATTGCTACATTCAATGTCCTTTGGTCCTCGTCCTCCTTGACATCTCTAAATAATCTGACACTGTTGATGATTCCCTTCTATTAAATATTGTCTCCTCTCTTGGATACAGAAATACTACACTCTCCTTTGGCTGCTGCTCTGTTTCTTCTCACAGTATTCCTGAGCATTTAAAATAGGTTTGCTCAACTGTAAAATGGAGATAATAATAGCACTACTTCCCAGGGTTCCTGCGAGGATCAAATAAGATAATATTTGTAAAGCACTTAGCACAGTGCCTGGCACATAGCAGGTGTTATATAAATGCTAACTATTGTTACTATATTTTTCTGGCACAGCTTTTGAACATCCAGTGTCATTTGTAAGTCATGACCAAGCACCTAACTGGGACTTTTGTGGAGACATAGGGATCTTAACTTCAATATATCTCCGTGAAATGAATTACATATAAAATATATGTATAGATACATATCCATATGTATGTATTTATCTGTTTATCTATATCAAAAGAACTCAAAATATATCTATGACTTAACAGAAAAAGAAGTCAGAGCTCATGGTTTCCAATAGCCATGGCAATACTTACTCTTAATTAAACCAAGCTGCATAAATGCAACTATTGTTAGCACTACAAACTCTGACTTATCTGTACAATGTAAATACTTCAAAAGACAGCACTATTTCCTCTTATTACTCATCTGTCTTCAGAAGGCTCCTCTTTATTACTAAGCATTCTCTAAACAAATGAAATAAATTTTAAGATTTTAAAGGGGATATTTTACATATCATCTGGAGTATTAATTATAGCATATTAATACTATGATTATCACTACTTTCTTTGCCCCCATTCAGCTCACTTTTATATGTTGTCTTCTCCCATTAGAATGTAAGCTTCTTGAGGGCAGGGACAGTCTTAATTATGCCCAGTACTTAGCATAGTGTTGACACAGTCATTTTTCAGCTGTATCCAATTCTTCATGACCCTCTTTGGGGTTTTCTTGGTAGAGATACTGAAGTGTTTTTGCCATTTCTTTCTCCAGTGCATTTTACAGATGAGGAACTGATGCCAACAAGGTTAAGTGACTTGCCCAGGGTCACACAGCCAGATCTGAACTCAGAAAGTGAGTCTTTCTGACTCCAGGCCTGGTGCTCTATCCACTATGCAATCTAACTGCCCCAGCACACAATTATTAATTAATGAGTGCTTATTGACTTGGTTATATCCTTGAGCTGAAAACAATTGTTTCCTGCAAAAGTCAAACTTTAGGTGCCTCCAGAAAAGTTCTACTATGGAAGGGGTTCTTAATTGTTTTTGTGTGGCATGGACATCTTTGGCAGTCTGGTGAAGTCTACAGACCTCTTTTTAGAATAATGGTTTTTTTTTTAATTCATAACTGAAGGAAATGCTAAATTTCACTTAGAAGTTAGTGAAAATAAAGACTCAACTTTTTTTTTTTCCTATCTGACGTTATGAGCCCCTAGAATCTAGTCACAGACCTTTTAGGTGGTCTGTGTACTCCAGGTTAAGAACTTCTGTACTATATTATCCTGGTCCCTGAATTATCGAAGCAACTTTCTTAATCATGGTATTAGGAAATCATCTCAAAACTGAACTCCCATTGCCTTTTGCATGTAGCCCAATCTGAACATAGAGTAGAATCATATAAAAGTGTGTGGGGGGGTGTGGGGGAGAGGAATGTGCTTGAATGACACCCTAAACCCCACCCCTGCTCTAAACTATTAGAATCATACTGATTTGAAGGAGGTGCCACCTCCACACCCTCTTTCTCCCATCTGCAAAACCTGACTTCTATTGCCAAGTTTCTGACATATGCTCCTTTGCAAAACACAAATGAGTCACCTTTGCATTCACTATCCTTGAGTCCAATGTAGTGGGAGGAAATGATTAAATTCCACTGAACAAAGTTCACTGAATTACCACATGGGCTGTCATGACAAAACAACTGATCAGCTCAGCTTTTAAAAACGGGCATGCTAACCAATGGATTGAGTTTTTCCCTTCTTCAACAACTGATGTCAAGGAGATCTAATCACAGAACATGTCTGTTGTAGCAGTTCAGAACTTGAGCTCGGCACTGGCTGGTAAGTAGTCTCTGCAAATTTCATTACAACGACAAACAACAACAACAACATCTAGCTTTTATACAGTGCTTTAAGGTTTGCGAAGTGCTTTACAAAGATCCACAAACCTGCATGTAATCTTTCATATTTCACTTTTGTCTTACCACCCCCACTGTCTAGAACATGGTTGGCTTAATAAATGCTTATTGGTTGATAAAACAGCATATGTCAAGTTTCTGCCCAAATAACAAAACCTCATTAAATCAAACATCACTAGTTTTGAATTTGCAATAATTCAGACATACTAAGCTAATGTTTCCCTCATAGTACAATGGAAAAAAAGTGTTGAAATCAGAAAACCAGGGTTTAAATCATGGCTCTACCTATGGGACCTGGGAGAACATGAGCAAAGAAACTTTAGGTCTCTGGGGCTTCCCTTTTCCTCATGTTTAAAATGAAAAGGTTAATTGGAAAGATTTCTAAGGTCTCTTCCAGTTTGAAATCTATGATTGAATGATTCCATAGCTTTCACGAAAACACAGCATCCTACTCAAATTAATAGGATTAGACAATTTCCTTTTCCACTCCTCTTCCATTTAATCCTCCAGACTAGTGTTTCCCAAAGCAAATTTTCTACAGATAGCCCTTATCGGTGCTTCACAACCTTTCTCTGTGACTCTCCATGGCTCAGGGAGAAGGAACTAAGAGCTAAGGGTTGGAAGAGGCCAGAGTGTGGTGGGGCAGGGATGGGGTGGTTAGTCCATTTTAGGGTGACAGTCAACTAGAGAATAAACATGTGTTTATTAAGATAGCATTGTTTAGTGCATTAAAAAGCCAGCCTAGAAGCTAGGAAGGCCTGGGTTCAAGGCCTACCTCTGACATATACTGACTGTCACCCTGGGCAAGTCTCCTTGCTCTCTAGGCAACTCTCTAAGACACTAAACTGAAGAGAAAGTGCTGATCTACATAGACAGAGGTAATTTCCTCACCTGGGAGTTCCCTATGCCAATGACATTATGGGTTCAGTCTCTATCCCCATTCTATTCTGTGTCAGATGGGGTGTGTAAGAGCTTGGGATACAAAGAAATGCAAAAACAGTCTCTGACCTCAAGGAGCCCTCTTACTAATGGGGAAGACAAATGAATTAAATATCTGCATACATAGAAGATATAGCAGAGCAGAAAGAAGGTAATCTAAAGGGAAAAGGCTAAGAAATTCTTTTTAAGCAATTGAAGGATCACTACAACAACAGATTCTACAAATAAATGAAGAATGTACTCATAAATTATTCTTTTCTACTTCTTAATTACATAACAAAATTTTCTAGGTATCTAGCTCCTTTGCCCCTTTTTCATATTAAAAAAAGGTATGACTCTTAGTACTAAAAAGTATTGAGTTTTAATTTGTGTTCTATAAGTCATGAAATCTTTTTTTTTTTAAATTAAATCTGACCTCTCTGCTCAATTAAAGCAAATCATTGGGGTTTCACTGAAACTTTCAGCCTTTCTGATCTATTCTTTGGCAGTGACAAGTTAAATTTTTACTTTTACAATAAAATAAGAATGAAAAAGTGAGAGACGCTCAAAATGAAAGAAATTATGATGAAGATTAATCCTAGTTATAACTATTATCTAAGCAGCGTCTGTAGTTATGAGGCCCAGAAATTATATGAGGAGATAGAGGCTGGTGCAGAGAGATGGAGGCAGCACCTTTGGGTTCTATTTACTCCAAGATCTGTTAACTTAATCACGGATATTTGCAGAAATTTCCCAGTGACCTCTCAAGTTTCATATAACAAAACATTTAAATATAAAACCCTACAGGAATTAGGATAAGAGGGGCCATTGCTAATTACTTCCTTTTATCTTTCCATATATATAAAAAGTGGACTAAATACTCCCTTAACCACTGGTAGTTCCTCAAAAGGAAACTACTGAAGATCTGCTTTATTTTACAAACATCAAAGGATAAGATTGTTATAGGATTACAGGTTTGGAGCTGGCAGGAACTTTATAGGTCATTAAGTCCAACCACTTCATTTTCTAGGTGAGAAAACTGAAGCCTAGAGCAGCTAGGTAGTGCAGTGGATGGAGTGCAGGGCCTGGAGTCAAGCAGACTCCTCTTCCTGAGTTCAAATCTGGCCTCAGACACTTACTAGCTGTCTGACCCTGGGCAAGTCACTTAACTCTGTTTGCCTCAGTTTCCTCTCTGTAAAATGAGCTGGAGAAGGAAATGGCAAATCACTCCAGTATCGTAGCCAAGAAAATCCCAAATGGAGTCACAAAGAGTCGGACACGACTGAACAATAACAAAGCTGAAGCCTAGTAAATGACTTACTGTAGCTAAGCCTTAAGTAAGGAGTTAGGCTCCTTCTGGGACCCAATTACATAATTTTTGCTTCTGGGCTTACTAAACATAAACTGAGTCTTTAGTGCCCCATAGGCAGAAGTATACTAGTAAAAGTTTAAAAACCAGCTCTTCAGGAAAAAAAAAAGTACAGAAAACTAAGTTTTATCTGCCTTAAATTAAGATTTTCTCTATAATTTTCTTAGGTCTAGAAATCAACAAAATAAATCAAGCTCTAATTTGTAATTTGCTGATTTCCAAGGTATAAATGATCACACTTAAAATTTAACAATCAACTTTCATGAGCTGATTCTAGCACACTCTTGCAATAGGCTAACACTGATTTTTCTGAAATATAGCTAAGTACTCAGGAGGTTTCCTTTCCATTCTTCTTCAATATAATCCTCTGGACCAGAGGAGTCGAAATGCTAATGCTCTGCACCACAGAGAGAAGCAGGAACTGGATTAATGTAATTGGGAAATATTTAACAAAATAAATGAAAATACATGTTAATGTGTGATTTTCTAAGTTAACATGCAGCCTGCAGGGATCCTTATGGAGGGTTTCTTGTTCTTAAGTCATTTTCAGTTTCTGACTCTTTGTGACCCCCTTTTCGGGTTTTCTTGGCAAAGATATTGGAGTAGTTTGCCATTTCCTTCACAAGTTCATTTTACAGATGAGGAAACTGAGGCAAACAGGGTTAAATGACTTGCCCAGGATCCCACAACTAGTAAGTGTCAGAGGCCAGATTTGAACTTAGAAAGATAAATCTTCCTGACTCCAGGACCAGCACTCTATTCACTGCATACCTACCTGCCTCATGTAGGGTTTAGCTGCCTTCATTTCTATTTTAGTTTGTCTCTACTGCTCTAGACCAGTATTCCCAACTCAAATTATACTGAAGATAGCTAACCTAATTCCCTTTCTCATATGGCACCCTCTATTATCTCCATAGCTCAAAAGGCTCAAAGACCACGAGGAAGAAAGAGGAGAAAAGCGAGTGGTAGGGAAAAAGGAAGAGGTGAAAAAGTAATGGGATTGAAGATTTAAAGAAATAAAGGCCTTTGGTAAATCACATTGCTCTGAGTCTCACTAGTAAAATAGTTGAGTCAAGCATGTCATTTAGTCAAGGGAAAAGGCTTATCCAAGTATATCTACTTAGGGAGAAGGGAAGGAATAAGCATTTCTATAGCACCTACTATGTGCCAGGAACTGTTCTAAATATAACTCTGTGGGGTAGGTGCTGTTATCTCCATTTTACAGTTGAGGAAACTGAGGCAAACACAGGTTAAATAACTTGCCTACAATCACACTGAGAGCTAATGTCTGAGTTCAGATTTGAACTCAAGTCTATGGCTGTGAGAGTTGGACTATAAGGAAAGCTGAGCACCACAGAATAGATGCTTTTGAATTATGGTGGTAGGGAAGACTTTTGAGAGTCCCTTGGATAGCAAGGAGATCAAACCATTCAATATTTAAAGAAATTAATTCAGACTACTCATTGGAAGGACAAATATTGAAACTGAAGCTTAACTACTTTGACCATATAATGAGAAGACAGGACTCATTGGAAGAGGTTCTGATACTGGAAAAGATTGAAGGCAAAAGAAAAAGGAGACAGCAGAGGATGCAATGGATAGATACTGTCATGGATAGTGTCAACATGACCTCGGACAGACTTTGGGAGATAGTGGAGGATAGAAGGGCCTGCTGTGCAATGGTCCATGGGCTTACCAAGAGTTGGACACAACTAAACAAATGAACAACAACCTCATGGCTCCAAGACCCTATCCACTGTGACACCTAATTGCCTTTGCCTTCTACTGAGATGGAGAATGGTTAAATGGATACATTGATGGATGATCCAATTACTAATTATGCCATATTTGGTAGAGCTGCCTCAGAACCAAGATGACCTTGGTTCAAGGCCTGCCTTTGACAGAGACAGGCTGTGTAACTGTCACTTAATTTCTCTGTGCTTTAGACAGCTCTTAAGACTGTAAGTTCCAGAAGTTCTCAATCTGAAGGGAATTTCCTCACTGATAATTCCCTACCAATTAAATCATAGATCCAGACTGAAAAAAAAAAGACACTTGATGACAAGATAATTTTCCTTTAATCACCCAAACTTACCTTCTTTACTCAAAGTAGAATGAAAGGTGCTCCGATACCAAAGCACAATGTCAACCTTGACAATGTGGTATGTGCACATAACAAACACAATCACACACAACACAACAATGGGCCCTCCTATCAGGTATCCTTGAACATTTGGAGCTGTACAACAAGAGAAAGACAAAAATAACTGTAGAATTTATTTAAAAGAGATCACTAACAAATCACAAATTATGGCTCCTTAAAGTTTGTTGGATGATAAGTATTATGTTCCAAGTATTTTTAAAATATGAAGCCAAGAAATGGCATCAGGTTCTTGAAAAACACTTTGAAAAACTATTCCCTACCTTTGAAAGAGGCCTCTTGGGGGACTGGAGGCAGAAGAGAAAAGCTGGCTTTAATTTCTTCCCCCATAGTCAGAACTAAGTACCAATAACGAAAATATTTCCTAGAGGTTTGGTCAAGGAGTTCATAAGAAAGAGCTAATATTATATATCAAACAATACCTTATTACCTACAAAATCTTTTTTTTTTTTAAATCAGATTTAGGGCTTCCTGACTCTAAAGCTGACTTTCTATACCACACTGTCTCCCCTATGTCATTAACCTGTGAAATAGTCCTTAACAATAGTCTAGGAAGAATCATATATCTGAAAATACCTGTTTGATTTAAAAGTCTACTGTTAACAATAAAGACAATAAAAATTGGTTGTCAAGACTCCTGTCAAACACAAGGTAATTATCTGGTATATTGTAAATACTTAATAAATGCTTGTTAATTGATTATTTCCTCTGAGATCTGTGGCTCTAGCTGTAATCTACAAGTCCTCATATGACTCAAGTCAGATTTATATTCTCTTCCCACCTGGGAATGTGAGTATGACAGGACAGAGAGAAAATATTGCTAGAGTGAAGATTCATAAGTTACTCTGTCTTGTCAAAAGATTTCCAAAGAGCCAAAAAAAAAAAAAGGAAAGAAAAGAAAAGAAAAGAAAGAAAGCGAGGACAGGTGGTTGGAGGGGGTGGAGAAAAAAGGGAGATGATAGCAAATGGAAAGAATGAATTGATCTGGAGCTCAAGGAAACTAAAAACATTTTAAAAAAGCACCTTGCAGGATGACCTAGATGGTCTTACAAAAGGAAAAGCACAGTTAGGTAAATTTGATGAAGAAATGGGATTACAAAGTGAGCTGCTTCTGCTGGCTCATAGAAGAACTTTTAGGGGAGACATAGGAAAGAATGTGAAAGAGATAAAGGAGAGAAAAATCACGGAATGGGCACTGTTAAGTGCCAAGTATATCAGTATCTCGTGAACCATTTCTTATCCTGAGGACTCAGTGCTAAGCAGACCCAATAGGTTCTATTTTCTTCTTCCTAAAATAGCAGGAAATTGGAACTGATCCATTCAGCCCTACACTTCCTGTTCTTTCCCTCTTTTCTTTAGTGTTTCCAAAGAAGAATCTGGACATGAATCTAGGTTTTCAGACTTCTAATGCAATACTCTTTTTACTACCACTGTTCTTTCTGGTCAGCCATCTTGCAAAATGCATGTCAGGATTCAAGAGAAGGACTAGGCAAGAGAATGGAACAGCACATAACATGGCATCTCCCAGTGGGAATTATGTCTATTCACTTTAAATTGATAAAATTATTATGGTGTCATAGAATTTTAAATGACAGGATACTGACAGACCACTTCCTGAGAGGCGTTTGAATGAAGAGTCAGCAAAGAGATCTCAGTGGAAAGGAGGCATTGGCAACCTGAATCTTTCGTTAGCAGGTCATCCACCTCTGCTCTGAAAATTAGTTAAAAGAAGGAGGTGATTCTCAGAAAACTGGAACCCAGAGAGTGGGCCCAAAAAGAAATACAGACTTCAAAACTGGTTTCGTCTTCTGACCGAAAATGACTTATGTTTTATCTAAGGGCTCCAGGTACATATGGCCCAAGTCATTGAGGACTAATGGCCACTAGAGAGACTAAGCTAAGAAAACAGTTTAGGACAAGACGTGAAGAAGCTTAGCATTGCACCAAAGGCAAGAACCAACCTTAACAGTTAGCTGGGGAATATATTTCACACAAATTGAACAGCACAGAAAGAATCAAGCCAGGGTGAGTGTAGAAATTCCCAGGGAATGAAACCATGTCACCAAGTTGCTTGATAAACTCCACTGGTTCCCTATCACTACTGGGAAAAATACAAGTTCATATTTTTTGGTATTTAAAGTCTTTCACAACTTGGCTCCAACCTATTTGTCCATGCTTATTATATATTACTTCCCTTTATGCGGTCTGCAATATAGCCAAATTGGACTTCTTGTTGTCTGGATATATATAATCCCATTTGCTCTCTCCTTGCCTTTGCATAACCTGTAGCCCATGCCTAGAATGCACTCTCTCCTCATCCCTGCCTCTTAGAATCTTTCATTTCCTTCAAAGTTCAGTTCAAACACCACATCCCACGTGAGACCTTCCAGGTTTTCCAGATGCACTTGCCCTTCCCCTAATTGTTCTGTGTATACAAGGTGTTTGGCATATATAGTTGTTGTTCAGTCTTGTCTGACTTTTCATGACTCATTTGGGGTTTTCTTGGCAAAGATACTGGAGTGGTTTGCCATTTCCTTCTCCAGCTCATTTTAGAGATGAGGACCTGAGGCAAACAGGAATAAGTGGCTTGCCAGGGTCACACAGCGAGTAAGTGTCTGAGGCCAGATTTGAACTCAGGACAATGAGTTTTCCTGACTCCAGGACCAGCACTCTATCTACTCCACCACCTGGCTGCCTCTTGATATATACAGAGAGGAGAGAAAGGGAAAGGGGAGGGGAGTGAAGGGGAAGGGAAGAACGAAAGGAGAAGAGGAGAAGGGAGGGAAGGAAAGGGGAGAAGGAGAGACAAATTACTTAATCTCTCATAATCTCACTTTCCTCACCAATAAAAGTTAGATCTCCAGGATCCCGTCCGGCTCTAACAATCTATGATTCTATGAAAGAGGAGAACCAAGAAGGATGCTGCACGTATAGAAATCAATGGGTTGAAGGATAGTCTGGGAACAAAAACAGACCAGGAAAACTCAACCAACTGAGCCAATAAGCTACGGGAAATTTTTTGAATAGTTATGCTATAGAGAATTTGAGCACAGATACTAATGACTCCTATCACTAACTGAAGGAACAAATTAATCACATCATAGGCTACATGTAGGTACTAGATGCAAATCATAGTAATAAGCAAACATTTACACTAACCTGAATTCTTTTCAAAAAACACACATCAATACTACCACAGAATCCAGAAGCCCTGTCAGAGACTAACCCCAGCTTTTATTACTTCTTACACTGTTAATATTTGTGTCTAATGGTAGCCACCTCTAGGGCAGGGTAGGGGGGAGGGAGGGAAGAAGAAAAAAAAGAAAAAAAAAAGAAATTTACATGGTAACTTTATTATATATTTAAAAGGAATAGCAAGTTGTACATAACAGATATGTTTCATGTACAATCATCTTTTTTTATTCTACTATGTTAGGGAAATATTTGTTTAATTTTATAAATTAAAAATAAAACAATGATAATTTTAAAAATACAACTTGAAAAATTCAGTCACATTTCTCTCATATCAATTCCTTCTTTAAAATTTAATTCTGCACATTCTAAATTGCACCTATCATTTTGGCACATTACCTGGATGCTTGAACATAATAAATGCTGCTGATGATCCAGACATACATATAAACGGACGATTATAATCTTCTTGTCTCACCTCTAAGAAGCTGATATTTACAGTATAGAAATAGTATTTTTCCCCACAAGAAACATTTGATCTGTGAAAGGATAAAGCAAATTATATTTTAAACATTTATGTAATTTAGGAAACATTATCCGTTGTATATTTGCATTACAATACTTGCAAATAAGTGAATTCATTGGTGAGGGTGAACCCTACCTTGTTGTAGATCATATTCCCCAGGAGAAAGAGCACTGATCCTTGAGTCACAGAACCTACCTCTTACTTTTACTACCTGTATGACCTTGGCCAAGTCATCTGTCTTCAGGGCTTCAGAGGTGCACTGTCGCTCAAGAGCTCGGATCTTATGATTCTATTAATTTAGCAGATGGTTTTAGAAAATTGCTTTGACTGGAAAATTTAATACCCTACAACCAAGGCTGTGCTGGAACCATATCTTAGTGGCTCATTAGAGGCATTTGTTAAATTTTTAGTGTGAATATTTTCACCTCAGAAATCAGCAAATGCTACAAATCAAGGCTTTGTTTATTGTTTTGTTGATTGTCTAGACTTAGGAAAGTGATGGAGAAAATGTTAATACAGATTAAACTTAAAAGTGTGCTATGCATATATATATTTTTTTCCAGAGAGCAGGTCACTAACCATTCACTAGCACACCACTGCTTAAAACCAACCTGGTGATCAACCTTTCAGCTAGAAGGGTCTTCAGATGAGAGACATATATCACCTGCCCTGTACTGGAAGGCAATCTCATAGGACCTTCCAGAGTTTATGTTCCATTCCCTATTCATATCAACACCTTCCCTGCAACTCACAGTCTCAGAGAGTAATCTACACAAGAACATTAAGGGGTTAAGTGACTTGCCCAGGCTCACAAAGACTGTATTTATCATTGGTAAGGCCTGAATCTGTGCAGATCTTGCTGCAGCTCAACAATTAGAGCTGTATGAAAAAGAAATGTTACATCAGCAAATGACTTCCTCATCACTACAAGTCTTCAAACAGAGGCTAGACACCATGTTTTTGGACATATTTAGAGGCACTGCCCTAGAAGATCTCTGAGTTTCCTTAAGACTATGAATACTTACTCAATTCCTTCTTTAATTCGGGTAGAATTGAGAAAGTCCACCAAAGTGCCATTGACACTCCAACTTCTATGATTCAAATTCTCTTTCCCATCCTTTATATTGCAGTCTACAATAAGAGGAGAACCTACAAAGCAAGATTGACCAAGAGTAAATATTTAAAATCCTGCAAATTAAAAGCAGATGAGACAAAAGGGCCAAGTCCAAGGGATTCATGATTCTGTTGGATTTTCACTTAGTCAATTTATTTTCTTTTTACTTATTGTATCTTTCAATTTTTTGAAATCAGAACATAAATCCCAAATGGGTTATATTAGTGGACCATGCACCTAACCTAAGACTATATATCAGACAAAGGCACCAAGGAATGTATTTCCCTTTCCATCATAAATCTCAAAAAGTTAAGATTGAACAAGTAAACTGGTACAGTGGAAAAAGCACTATAGTTGAATTTAGAAGACTTGGGTCTGAACCCAAACTCTTTCATTTACTACCTCTGTGACCTTGAGCAAATCACTTAAATGCTCTGTGCTTTGGTTTCCTCATTTGTAAAATGTAGGGGTTGAACTAGATAACCTCTAAGGTCCATTCCAGATCAAAATCTATGGTCTAATGATACATCATGTAAGTGGGAACTTGTAAGCTATAGTTTTAGGAGTATGGAGCCCCAAACGTACATTGAACTTGGATTAGTCATCCTCAGGGATCCAATCAGCAAGTACGTACTAACAGATGCCCCAGGCTGCTACACCTATTTCATAATCTATAAAATTAGGGGCGGGGGAAGGTGGACTTCTATTTCTATCACCAAACCCATGATCATACAAACCCTTCTTAAACTGACCAGTATCTACTTATGTTTTTTAGTTTACAACCTCCTCACCACTGAGGTCACAAGAGTCACCTATTTTCTACTTGTTGAATAAAGGATATTTTCCTTGTATTTGTCTTAAAGCATTTTCCTCCATGTTTTCAATGTAGACTCCTTACTCTGGAACTTTAAAATTTAGTCAATAAGTTCATTTTGATCCAATCTGTACTTTCATTATTTTAAAAGCCTCAATCATATACTTGCTTAGACTTGATCTTTCCACTGCTAAGATATCCAAAAGGAGATCTATTCTCATATCAATGCTAATCCCTTATTTTAGTTACTGTTCTCTGACCTTTAGCCAGCTTTACTATGTTTTCCTTAAGATGAATTACCTAGAAGGGCAAACACCACTCCAAGTTCAGAAAGATCATGATTTTCTAGAAAGGTGAAATGTTATGATTGACTTTGAGTTCTAATTTCATTTCTGGTGATGCCCAGAATATCTTGCTTGAAATAGTACAGTAGACCAAAAGGCCACAAATCAGAATGTGTCATTGTGCAAGCAAAACTTAAGGTTACTTAAAATTTTTTTTTACAAACATTCATAATCACTCCCTCCCACTACCCCCATTAAACAATTTGAAAACAAACAAAAAACCATTGTACATAATCCAGCAAAACAAATATCTACATTAACCATGCCTGAAAATGCATGTCTATCTCTCCATTTTTAAGTACATAACCTCTAGGCAGAAAATGAGTAATGTTTCACATTCTGACCTCTAGATTTATGGTTTTTCATTGCATTGATCAAAATTCTAAAGTCTTTCAAAACTGTTTTTCTCTATGATGGTTTTATCATTATAGGCATTATTTTCCTAGTTCTGCTTGCTTCATTCTTCATCAGTTCATAGAGGTTCTTCCAATTTCCTCTGAAGCTGTCCATTATATAATTTCCTATGGCTCAATAATTCCATTCATATACTACAATCTGATTAGCCACTCCCCAATAGGCAAGCACCTCTTTGTTTCCACTTTGGGGCTAAGAGAGAAAGACTTGCTATAAATATGTTTGTACATGTGGGTCCTTTTCTTTTTTCTTTGATCTCTTTGGGGTATAGGCTTAATAATCAAGAGTTATGTACAGATTAGTAATTTTGGAGCCTAGTTCCAAATTGTTTTCTGGAATAGCCAGACCATTTCTACTAACAATGCACAAGTGTGTCTATTTTCCCCAAGTCCCTTTCAACATTTGCTATTTTCCTCTTTTGTCACCTTTGTCAACCTAATGGGCATGAAGTGGAAATCAAAATTGCTTTGATTTGTATTTCTCCAATTACTAATGGCTTGAAGAATTTAAAAAAAAATTCCCTAAACATACTGACTTATGCTTTCCCACAATTAAAATCAACACACTACTTTCTCTCTGCTCAATTTATGTCCATTAGGTTGGGATTTCACTTGCAACAAAATCTATAACAGATGTAGTCTTGAAGAACTTTATAAGGATTCCTTTCAAATTATTTATGATTTTTTTAAAAGGAAAATTCCAGTACTGTTTGAACCATAGTTAACATTTCTTATGACACACACTCATATATTTTATACTAGTTATCTCACGGGGTTGTTGGGGAAAACATGCTTTTCAACTCTATGTATATTAAGTATTATCATTATGGCTACACTATTTATTCACTTTATCCCTCCATGATTTATTCTGTCTCTACAGGTCTTGGCTCATTTATACATCAGTGTCACTAAATCTGTTTGAGAATTTAGGTTTTAAGAGAGCAAGCAGCTCTTTACAGTACCTTCCAGTCTTAAGACCTTTAAACTTATAAACTTTTATGTGAATGTTTAATAAATATTCTTTTGTCATGACCATTCCTTTCATTTCAACGCTTTTGGTTGTGAGAATTATCAGGTTATAAGATTAGGTAGAAACTCAAACTATCATAGTTAGCATTTTTTTTCCCAAGCCGGATAAGTATTGCTGAAGAGAGAATATTTTTCATTTATGAGAATGGATAAATCTATTATGAATTTAAGAGATTCAAAGACCATGGCACCTTCATGTCCTACTGAACTGGGACAATGTATCTAGACTTCAAAAAAAAAAATTTGCTACTAGGCCATATGCCCTCTTTATTTTTTCAACTGAGACCTTTCACGATAAAAGGTACTTTTTAAAAGCAGTTATTACAGTACCAAACAAGCAGTTTCTTAAGAGTTTGGTATCTATTTTTATTCAAACATAAGCCATGATGAACTTTCTCTGCTGCTGAATGAAATGCATGTCAGCAGACACAGCTTTATGTCAATGGGAGGGAAGATTGTCTTTATGCAACACTTCTCTCTTTATCTCCACAGAACTCTTTACGGTTGTTGTTGTTGTTCATTTGTTTCAGTTTGTCTGACTCTTCGTGACCCCATTTGGGATTTTCCTGGCAAAGATACTATAATGATTTGCCATTTCCTTCTCCAGTTTATTTTACAGATGAGGAAACTGAGGCAAATAGGGTCAAGGGGCTTGCCCAGGTCACACAGCTAAGTGTCTGAGGTTGGATTTGGACTTAGGAAGATAAGTCTTCTTTACTACAGGCCCAGCATTCTATATACTCTTTTCCTTGGCCCTCATTTTACTAGATCTTGACTTTTAGTTCCTCAAGGACATTACATTATAACTGCACTTCTAATACAGCATGATTAGAATGTTATTAGTACCATTTTTTTTTTACAAAGTCTCTATAGTTGATGATTTAGTGATTTTTCATTCTACTTACCAAGCTGTACTTCAATGGAATTATTTCTTGGATAGATAATTTCAGGTTCTTTCCTTCCTCCTATTTTGTTTACTGGAAAAAAACATACACACATACCTATCTTGTTGGAAATTAAAAAAAAATCATCCATGTCCAAAAACTTTAAAGAAAACTCAAAATCTCAAAAATCCCAATCCATAAATTCACATTTCAGCTTCTAGTACCTCCCAAATCACCATGAACCTTGTCAGAATATAAGACTTAGATATATTAAAAAGTTAAGGGCAAGGAATCATTTTGGCATCATGAAGAGAGAAGGGGTTATAACTGGGCTTCTCATGTGAAATGAGCTTTATGTCTAAGGAAACTGGAGAGGCAGAGAAAGCAATGAAAGTGGGAAAATTGGTTTTAAAAAAAGAGCATTACGATAAAGCCACAATGGGATTTAATTATAATGATCTCTATAAGAAAAATGGTTAATAAATTCTACAAATGAGCCTTAACTTTTACTCCAGTGGGTTACATTTAGGTATGTACAGGTTGTGTATAAACAAGCATATATGAATATTGCACATATACGTCACATATATGTACATATGTATCCATACATGTTGTCCCGGCTAGAATTTAACAAAGGGCAGACTGAGGCAATTCTCTGAGTGAGACACCCTTTATTAGTAGGGGCATGCAGCCTGGTAACAAAGGGGTCTTTATGGCTAGTCTCTGTGGCAAAGACCTAGAGTGAAGGTCAACAATGTCTTTTAAACTTAGGTGTATTTTTCTTCTGATTGGCCTGACAGTATACCATTTGGCCCTCCCCTAACAAATGTAAGGCAACCTTGACTGGTGGATATTTTAAGGAGGAAGTGGGTTAATAGTTCTCAGTTCCTCCCTACTGCTTCCTTAGGGGGCAGGAATAATCCTCAGGATCAATCTGCAGCTAGGGAAAGACAGCTGGCTTTCAGATGTGGCTGATTATGCCCCTCTCTAACACTCAAAAAATGCCAGCTGCCTTGTGGACCCAACTGCTTCTAGCAATCTTGGCTAGAAAAACATAAACCATCTCAATTAAGTTTTCATTGGTTTTGTCTCCCTCCCCTTTTTTTTTGAGTAGATCACCCTAAACTTTGTTAAGGACAGGCAAAGACACACAGGAGAGAGAAGGTGGTATTAGCTCAAGCTGGCTTCTGTTTATGGGGTAAACAAAAGCAAGGGTCCCTGTCCAGGTAGAAGACTTGAGGGCTGGAAGTAATTACCTTACTCCATTAAGCCTTTTAGAAACTGCCTGACCTTTAGAAGTGGGGTCTGAGGAAATGAATGGATTCATAGAGAAATACTGGTTATAAATAATACAATCTAATATTAATTTCCTGTCTCTTTCTATTTCTCTGTATACACACATTCAGAGACATATATATATAATATATATATAATATATATAATATATATATACATATACACAACACAAATATGCAAAGATAGCCAAAGATTAATGCAAAAGCACTGCTGAGGCTAAATTTCCTCCTTGTCTACAGATGGATAAGAAAGTGGTCAACTTCTTGGCTCTGCAGAGATGATCAAGAAGGACCAGTCCCCTAAGATAGCCCTCAGACTCCTACAATCAGTTTCAAAACTGCTCTCAAAAGCCCTGAATACAGCAGTAAAGGTTAATTGGAGATGATTACAGGATAGTACGTACTCCTCACAATTAAGAGGTCTATTGTCTTCGAAGGAGGTAGATCCAAGACAAAATAAAAAAAAAACTTCTAGTGTTTCACAGGTACATAAGAACCTAAAAAAGTGTTGCCAATGCTTATGAAGTCTTGGACAAGAAACTGATATTGGAGGTAACACACTGGAATGGGTACTCTGCCACTGTCTCTCAGAGGTACCTCTAGGAACCTGAAGGGGAAGATGTAGCAAGCCGGCTTCATTCTGCTAGTACATCTGTGGGTTGGGAAATTCAAGAGACTCACTATTTCTAGAATGGATCAGTAAAAAGAGGATTGGAGAACATATGGAAAGATGTGATTATAAAGAACCAACATGGCTTGTTGAAGAATAGGTACTGCCAGACAAACCTCATTTACCTGTTAAAGTAGATGAGAGAAATGCTATGGATATAGTTTGATTCTATTTTAGCAAACCTTTCAGCAAAATATATCATAGTATTTTTTGTGTAGAAGATTAATGTAATAATATAATTAATGTAATAAAATGGATATAGAATTGATTGGAAGACCAACTTCAAAGACTAGCTATTCATGGTTCAGTGTCAACATGGCAGGAGATCTCCACTATAGTACCTTAGGGATCTATGCTTGACTCCACATTTTTAAAAATACTTTTATTGGTGACTTTGATAAAGGCATTGATGGTAGGTTCATCAAATTTGCAGATGACATAAAGCTAGTAGGATGACACAGTCAGAATTCAAAGGAATCTTGACAGGCTAGGTTATTAGATTGACTCTAATATCATGTTCAATAGGAAAAAATGCAACGTTTTGGACTTCGGTGCAAAAAAAAATCATCTAAACAATTATAATATTGGAGGGACATTGATAGAAGATAGTTCTAAAAAAACAACTTAGGTTTTTTGTGGGCTATCATCTCATATTGAGTCAGCAATGTGATATGGCAGCTAAAAAAGTTAACATAATCTTTGTTTGTATTAAGAAGGTCATGACTTCCAAGAATAAGGACAGGATAGTCCTACTGTACTTTGCCCTCATTAGACCTCATCTGGCTTATTGTGCTGAGTTCTAGGTGTAGGGTATTGGTAAGTTAAAGAGTGTCTAGATGAGGATAACCAGGTTGATAAAGAGCCCTATCATATGAAGGTTGGTTGAAGGAAATGGCCATGTTTAGACAGGAGAAAAGAAGACTCAGGAGGAAGTTGTCTTCAAGTATTTAAAGGTCTATTATGTGAAAAAGAGACTACACTTTTTTTTTTTTTCCGATTGGCCCCAGAGGACAGGACCAATAACAATGAGTGGAAGTTGGAAAGAGGCTGATTAAGGCTTGATATCAGGAAAAACTTGCTAACAATTAAAGCCATCTACAACTTCAGTTGCCTCAAGAGGTAGTGGGACCTTCCTCCTTGGAGGTCTCCAGGTAGAGGAACTAGAAGACCAGTTCTGAGGTATGTTATAGTGATGATCGCTTTTGTGTTTAGGATGGACTAGCTGCTAATGTCCCTTCCAGTCCTGAAATTCTGTGATTCTGTGATTCCTTTCCTCTTCCACTCTCTAATGCTTCTTCCCATTACTTTCATGACTGTTGGCAAGGAAAACTTCTGGACCTTGGTGGCTGTCTGAGGAAAAGAGGTTTTGGCAAATAACAGCACACAAATACCCTGGCATTCACATGCAGCTAAATGGAAAGCCTAAGTACTAGAGGCATTTCCAAATACTCTAAGAAAATGGTGGTCATATTATATCATACTTACATAGAGTTGTAGAAATTCTATTTAAAATGTCATAATGTTTTCCCATGTATGTTAGCTTTGTTCTGCATAAATACTTTGCTGCATCCTCAGTTGATGTATTTTCTATATAGAGAGCCAAATGCCTTGAAATATATTTCTTTTTGTCTCCAATAGGCTTACATTCCTAAATACAAAAATTCATTTTGGGTCAGAAAGTATTTATCGAATAACTACCAACATTTAGTATTGTAGTAGGGATTGTGGGTGACATAAAGGAAGTATAAGACATAGTATTCCTGACCAAAAGGAACAGTCATACATAAGACTGGACACTCAGTACCAAGAGGAAAGGAATTCTAGGCTCCTTAAGACAGAGGTGCTGGTATAAGCCCCAGATGGAACTGCATGCTGCCTCTGATGAGGGAGGTGCTCATGCAATCAGAAGCCAGGACAGGAGTAAAGCTTAGAAAAGAAAAGGAGGATTCAAGCTCATTTCATGCAATCAGTAGCCGAAAAGGAAGGAGAAAAGGTACTAATATAAAGGAGAATGGTGTAGATGAGTGGAGGAATGAAAACACCAAAAGAAAGTCAGAAAGTTACTGCAGTATGGTAGGCTATCACAGGAATTGAAAGTGGTCAACTTCTTGGCTCTGCAGAGATGATCAAGAAGGACCAGTCCCCTAAGATAGCCCTCAGACTCCTACAATCAGTTTCAAAACTGCTCTCAAAAGCCCTGAATACAGCAGTAAAGGTTAATTGGAGATGATTACAGGATAGTACGTACTCCTCACAATTAAGAGGTCTATTGTCTTCGAAGGAGGTAGATCCAAGACAAAATAAAAAAAAAACTTCTAGTGTTTCACAGGTACATAAGCCAGATATGTGAACTTAATCATTTAAAATCTTAGAATGTCCTACAAGAATGGATAGATAGAATATTATGCAGGGAGGCTAATTGTGCAGCTAGGTGGTACAGTGGATAGAATGCCAGACTTGGAGTTAAGAAGATTCATCTTCCTGAGTTCAAATCTGGCCTCAGATACAAACTAGCTGTGTGACATTGGACAAGTCACTTAACCCTGCTTGTCTCAGTTTCCTCATCTGTAAAATGAGCTAGAGAAAGAAATGGCAAACTGGTAAATGGCAAATCTTTGCCAATAAAACCCCAAATGGAGTCATGAAGAGTCAGATATGACTGAACAATAATAAGGAAGTCTTAGTCTGAACCAAGATATGCAAAAGGTCAACAACAGAGACGATATGACACAGAGAAAAGAGAATGGAACTTAAGTCATAAGACTTCTGCTCCATACCCACCACTAAGACAGGACTGAGCTACATGATCTGGGGTCACTTTCTCTTTTGCAATTCTATGACTCTATGATAGTTAAAAAGAAATAGGCAGATTGAAATAAACATGCCAAGGAATTGAAAAGAGCCTTAGGTTTGGAATCAAACAAGAAGGATTTATGGCTTAGCTGTATGAACTTGGTCAAGTTAATTTCTCTGAGCTTCAATTCCCTTGTCTGTAAAATGAAGATGATGCCATCATTTGTGAAGACAATTAGTAGAGTTTAGAGCTATTTACCTGTGCAAAGGGCAGGGGGAGAGGGTATTTCCATATTAATCAATTTGCAAATTCAAAAAAAAAAAAGAAAGTAGCTGGAATAACAGACATCAACATCGATTACAATAATTTCTTAAAGACATTTAACCAGTGGAAATTACTTGCCATACTGAGAATCAAAGACCCTATAAACAACATCCTTGCCAAGGAGAAACATACAGTAGTCAAAGGCAAAGGTTTAGAATGTGAACTACTTTGTCAAAATTTTATGGAGGAAAGTAGTGGAAAAAGGAGCATGTCATAAAACAATGAAAGGCAGTGGAGGGAAAAAGAAATCAAGAAAGCTTCGCAAAAGGACCAGTTAAGCCAAGTTATCCCTAGGGCATTTCAGATTGGAACTGGTAGGGCATGAAAGATGAAAAATGGAAAATATCTGCAAAAATTTTTGTTACATGCTCCCTTCACTATCAAGGACAGCTGGAATCCAATATCACAGGCCCCTGTGTGCTATGTGAGAAAGCGAAAATGGCCCCAAAGAAAACAAAGATGGGAAGAGGGGCTGGATTAGACCAGGTATGCTTATAGGACACTAGTGCTAGAGAGCACACAATTTTGAGGATGTTAAAGGATTCATTCTCAAGGTTGCTAAGAGAAGGGAGGATAATAAAAACATAGGAACAATTACTGCCCAAAAAGATGACTGAGAGAATATGAATAAGTACTGATGCATTTATCTACTTTTGAATCTCTACAACATTTTAATGAGGATAACCAATGCAAATATTGAAGGAAACTTTAATGAAGGCTTGAGAAGGGAACACACAAGTTTTCACAAAAGGATACCACAAATTTACAGTCACACAATTGGCTAAGAGCATAAAGATTACAAGTCCACTGTATTTACTGTTTATCAACTATACATAAGCATTTGATTCATAGAGCAAATCAACATCTTAAAGGTTCCCTTCCATCAAGGTGTCTTCAATGCACCTACCAAAATCATAAAAAATTCTTTGAAAGATTTACCAAAGGTAATCCTAGTCAATTACCCTCTATTTATAATAGACTTGATTTTAACAATTAAAGTATCATCAATCAAAATTATCTTTGATTGTTCAGTCAAAGTGTCTGCCACTATCATGGACAATGTGTAGACAGAGTCCAGATGAATGAAATTCCCCAGAGATGTCTTCTAAATGGTCCTATTTACAGATGACATTGTGTCAATTGCATCAGGCCTTGAAATTATGAGTCTCCTACCTGGAATCTATAATCACCCAAAAGAGTTTGGCTTAACTAATCACATAGGAAAAATCCTATGGAAGAAGTGACTTTTGTCCAGATTGCATTGTATAGTTAAAAAGACAGACCATAGCACTTGTCCATCAATACAAATACCTTGGACATACAACGCACATAGACAATGAGGCAAAATCAGAACTAAAGGGCAGGAAGAGAGAAGGGTAGACTATTTTAGGAAATTTGTTGTTGCTGTTGTTGTTGAGTTGTTTCAGTTGTCTGACTCTCTGTGACCCCATTTGTAGTTTTCTTATCAAAGATACTGGAATGGTTTGCCTTTTCCTTGTCTAGCTCATTTTACAGATGAGGAAACTGAGGCAAACAGGGTTAAGTGACTTGCCCAGGGTCACACAGTTATTAAGTGTCTGAAGCTGGATTTCAACTCAGGAAGACGAGTCTTCCTGACTTCAGACCCAGCACTCTATCCACCCCACCACCTAGCCACCTCTAGGAAACTGTACCAAGTTCTTATAATGATCTCAATACTCCATGAAACAAGGGACAATATATTTTAACATTAATAATTGTATGGTGATATTTTAAGCTGTAAGACAAAGAAAACAAATTTTCCAAAGAACTGAGGTTGAAGATCACGCAAAAGTTAATGGAGACATGCAGAGTGGGTGAGAGAAGACCGTAACACATTAAAAATGAGCAATTCCACAGGAAATGTGACATAAATGATGTCATGATAGTAATATATGATTGGGGGGGGAAAGGGTTAGTCATACACTGGAAGTGATGGATAGCCTGGGTGCTAATTAGGCTCCATGAAATGTCAAGAGAGAACAGGAGGAAGGCCACCAGCACATTTGATATAGTCCTTGTTATGGATTTGCAGATAGGACCTGAACAAGAGTTACATGGAAAAGATGGGTAAAGATCAATGCAATCTGTATCATTCAAGCAAACATCTACATCAAGAAGGTGGCAGATCCACTGACATATTAAAGTAAGAAAACATTCTTGTTCAGTGGTAATATGTGGAAGAAGGAAGGGGAGGGGAGAATACCAGATAAAACCCTTTTTTTTTTCCACATAAGTATGATAAAATTGACAGCTAGGTGGTACAGTGGATAGAGTGCTAGGCCTAGAGTCAGGAAGAACAGAGTTCAAATTTAGCCTCAAAAATGTACTAGCTGTGTGACCCTGGGCAAGTTACTTAGCCTTGTTTGCCTCAATTTCCTCGTCTGTAAAATGAACTGGAAAAGGAAATGGCAAACCACTCCAGTATCTTTGCCAAGAAAACCCCAAATGAGGTCACAAGGAGTCAGACACAACTGAAAAACTACTGAACAACAAAATGATAAAATTATTTTGGCTATCCATATTTACATAGTAATTTAAGGGTTACAAAGTGTTTGCCTTTCAAACACCAACACCTGGAACTCTGAGTGCCTCAGTGAGGGCTGGGGAACCGGTAGAAACCACCTCAGAAAACCACCAGGTGGCCTCGGCATTCTACAGCAAAGGAATCTCCCAGTGCCTCAGCAGAATTAAAGGAGGCAGCACTGCAAGGGGCCCCAGGCAGATAAACACCCTGCAGCACCCATCTAAAAGGAGCTGAAGAAAGCTAAAGGAAAGGAAAAGCAGGCAACCTAGAACTGCCCAAAAATTCCAGCCCAACACCAGGTAAGCTTCCAGAACCCTACAGCCTCCAACTGCCAACATAATAGTTCCCAGCACACAAAGCCAGTGACCAAGACCTAGGCTCCCAACACATGAAGCTTGGGTCAGTGCCCTCTGTTCCCCAGCAGGAGACTCAATCTCTTTAAAGGCCAGGGAAACAGAAACACCATGAGTAAAAAGAAACATACTATAGATTCATATTATGAGAAGAGTGAAGATCAAGACAGAAATTCTGAAGAGGACAACATTGTCAACAAACCCACATCTGCAACATCAAAAGGGAATATGAAGTGGTCTGAAGCCCAAAAAGCCTTCTTAGAAGAGCTCAAGAAGGATTTTAAAAGTCAAATGAAAGACGTAGAGGTGTCCTTAAAAAATACAATTGGCCAACTGGAAAAAAAGTACACTGAAGAAAACAAATCCTTTAAAAATACAATTGGCCAATTGGAGAAGAAAGTACAAAATCTAACAGAAGACAACAATATGTTAAAAATTAGAATAGGACAAATGGAAACTAATGACTCTATGAGAGAGCAAGAATCAGTCAAACAGAAACAAAAAAATGAAGAAACAGATGAAAACGTAAAAAACCTCATGGGTAAAACAACTGACCTGGAAAATTGATCCAGGAGAGACAATTTAAAAATTATTGGCCTATCTGAAAATCATGATGAAAAAAGAGCCTGGAC